CTGTATGTCTACTCCACCAATTAAGATCTCCTTCTAACTTAGGTGACAACATCATGTCAGCCGTAAACTCTTCCGTACTTTAAAGTTGAACAACATGAATTTAAATTCATGTCCCAACGAATGATGCAAACTCTCTTATTTTACACCGTTTCATAACTCTGAATTTGCTAATTTTTGTTTTTACCTTTTCTTGTTTCTCAACTGGGAGATTTCTCAATGGAAGTTCTACTACCATTTGTTTTGAGTCGTAGATGTTTCCTAAGAATCTGCATCTAGTCGAAGGGACCTTTTGACTTTTCCGTTCGTTAATTAAAAAGCCTAATTTTTTAAAGAGTCCAACAGTGGTTAGCACATTTTCCTGGCACCTGGTTTCGGAATGTTGAATGAGTGAAACATCGTCCAGGTATATGACCGACGTATAGCCTAAGTAAATTAGGGCTGACATAACGGATTTCATGATTTTTGTGAACGTATATGGGGCTGTACTTAACCCGAATGGTAAGCAAGTAAATTCAAACAATTTCCCTTGAAATTTAAATCTTAAAACCTTTTGATCTGAATTTCTAACTGAAATGAGGTAATAAGCGTCCTGGAAGTCGATTGCTGCCATGTAGCAGTTAGGAGTTAGCAATCGTCTAACAATTTTTTCGTCTTCTAGTTTAAAATGTTCTGTGCTAATAAATTTGTTGAGATTTTTCAAGTTCAAAATAAGTCGATACGACCCATCTGGTTTTAATGTTAAGAAGATTTTTGAGATAAATTGCCTTTTACTTGGGTTTGCGTGACAAATGGCACCTTTTTTAAGCAGCTCGTCTAGTTGCTCCCGAATTGCAGTGCTTTCCTGTAGAGACCATTGAGGTTCTGCGGGTGGAACATTCTGTGATACTTTAGCTACAAACGGTATTTTGTACCCACTAACCCAGCTCAGGATTAGTTAGTCAGAGGTGATTTCCGACCAGCGAGACTGAAAATACCTTAGTCTGCCTGCTAGTGTACTGTTACGTCAAAACCTCTTGGAATAAGTTTCGGAAGGAAAATAGAGGTTGACGGGATCCGACGGATAGGGCTCCCAGACATGGAGGTATGGAATGACGTAACTAGCAATTTTAAATGTCTCGCTAACACGCTCGGAGGCGCGTGGAAGCGAGCCGAACGCACTTTTCAAAGGCTCTAAAAAGGCCAATGTCTCGTGAGGACACTATGACACTTTCCAAGAGCGGTGCGATCGCAGGTCCTAATTTTAGGTCAAGGAAATTAATCCCTATTACCCTGGGACGGACCTTGTGCACTCTCAAAGGGGAACGAAGGGGGTGAGGTCTTTAGAAATAAAATAAATGAAAAAGAAATAGGTTTAACATAGCATTATATTTAAGATTTGTAAGAACAGATAATTTTGGTCAAGCATTACAATTAGGAGTATATGTATATATATAGGTAATTTTAACTAAACATCAGAACAGACAATTTTGACCAGGCAATTCGTTAGAAGATTTATACTTGACATTGGATTTAGAGTTATATCTAGACATTACATTAGAATTATAAAAATAAAAAAGGTAATTTTAACTAATATTAAATTAAAATATAAATAAGTTACATATCGTTTGTATTATCGGGTTTCACATTACGCGGGTGTGATTGTGTGTGTATTTATGTGTGTAGGAGTATGAGGGATTTACTTGAGGTTTCTTATTATTGTGGAAGAAGGAGGGAAAAGTGGGAAAAGAGGAGTGATCATCCTGAAAAATATTATTTAGAGCGGCTAACCGACGCGCATGCTGATTCCTCAGGTTCCTTAAACGTTTGACTATGGCTCGCGACTTTCTCCTGGTTTGAGTGGATCCCGTGAGTCCACTAAAATAAATCGAATTAGGGAGGTTGGCTAGACTTTCTGTTTATTAATAATAATTTATGAGTTAATAATTTCAGGATGAGGGTTTAGAAGAGAAAACGAGTCGTATCGGATTCGCACTAAAGGTGAATCCACAGGCACGAAACGAATTCTTAATGGATGGAAATATTCGAATCGTATCGAATTCACACAAACGGCGAATCCAGAGGCACGAAACGAATTCTTAATGGATGGAAATATTTGAATCGTATCGAATTCACACAAACGGCGAATCCAGAA